TTGATCGGACGGGTATGAAGAAGCGCAATTACGGGCGAGTGTAAGCGTACGCGAAAAACGCGGGCAATTTATTAAAGAGGCCGATGGAGCATCAGTCAAAAGTATTTTCGCACTCTCCGCTTCTCTCCGCGCAATTACAACACAATCCAATCGATCCAATTCAATTCCGCTGTTATGATACCCCGACACTCTTATCGGTGATTACATTCGTTGTTTGCTGCGCTCGGAAGAAATGCGTTTAATGAGCGCTGGATATGGCGAGATAGGAGAAACGCATCAGTGGTTCCGAGATGAATTAGTTGTTATATCGACGAGTCAATCTACTTTGCTCATTGACCGCAGACACAAACTTTTTTTTTTTTTTTTTTGTTAATTGCCTTTATACATCAGCCCTCTCGCATACAAGAAGTATTGGTCGACTGCACTTTGTTTTTTAGATTCTAAAACTCATCGAGTCAGATTGCACATTGGGTTTTCAATGATTTATTGCATCTGTGAATTTGCAGCTGAGCTTTATGCAGCGAAAATGCCAGCTTCTCATTACGCTCGATACATCTATTCGTAGAGAATGCAGGCCATTTATTTATAGACTTGTATTATAAAAGTTATTGATGAAAAGAATACGAATCATTACAATGATAAGTAAATAATAAAGTTTAGAGTGAGAGTGTATGGAGAATAATACGTTATATTTAATTGAAAGTCGTGTGAACTGTGAAGTATAAGAAATTATCTTTAAACATAATTTTCTTCGCATTATTTATGCTTATGTTTCTATGTCTGCACAAATATTTTCATAAACATCACCGGTTACAAGTAACTTGCAGTAATTAAACTTTTATTTTTTTCTCATTTTAACAATGTAGGCTGTTTGAAAAAAGTATTATGTATATAGTTAACATGTCAAATTTATTTATCTAATTATTTCTTCACCTCGTTATATATATTCTATAAATAATGTAATCAATTTTTCGTCTCGTAGCTTATCACTGACCTAATATGCTACAATAATGGATTTAAGTATCGGCTTATCTGCGAATAACGTAAATTACAGGTAATAATAAATTCGTATTAATTAAGAAATAATGCTCGATTAAACAAACCGATATTTTTATTATTGGTATTAGGCTACGGTATACATATAAATAAATAATAAATCGGTGAAAAGTTCAACGGACGCAACATCGGAACTCGGCGAAATATCAGAATATAAACTTCTATGAATTCAAGATATTCCTAATCTTCTTTAGCGAAGGCTGCGCATTCGTGAAAAATGTATCTACAAGAGAAGAATAAGTTAAAGTTATTGTAAGCTGAATATAGAATCTGATTGAAGCTTCTGAATAAGTAACAAACCAGTAGAAGAGAAACCAAATGATCTTGCTAAAATATTCGATTAGTGTCAGTGAACGCGCGCGCGCGCGCGTGCGTAGCTATACAGTCAATCCAACGGCGTGAGGATTGGAGTGAAGCTCTCTTATAAACGAAGGATAACGATTTTCTCTCGAGTTATAATCGCATTAATTCCGAAATGATATATTTAAACGTATTCCCGAGCATTTCTTTGACATTCTTGTAGCATAAACATTGTAAGCTCCGTACTTCCATTGTATCGAGACGTATATAGAATAGAATATTTAGACAAATAAAAAAGTAATCGTATAAATATTGCGACTTCTGAAAATTAACAATTTTTTTTTTTATTAAATAATTTTTAAATTATTTTATATGTTGTGTCGATAGAAGTTTGCTGGTACAGAATTTCGATTGTCGTGTAAGATAAATTGTGTAAGATAAAGTGAAAAGGTACTTATATAATGATAAATAATTTTCATTAATTATTAATGAATAAAAAGGTATGGTAGCCAGTGTAAGATGAGCAAAATAGACTAAGCAGTTGGTGGAAAATGGTCGAGAAAAAATATCTTGCTAATGAACTTGAATAATAATCATCGTGCGAGATATTTATTAAAGCACAAGATTTTCTCGCAAATTGAATACATTAGAAAGCTTCGTTAATGCCAAATCTTTATCACACGTAAACTCAAAGGCATAAACTGACTCTGATTATTTTTCATGAATGAGGGGTGGCTTTTGTAATTTTAGCGACTAAGGAATGCC